CCAAGCGTTGGGAGTCTAGAGGCGGCTCCTACGGGTTCAAGAGGAGGCTCTCGCCCTATGGCGTAGCACTTTGTCCCGCATAGCACTTAGTTCCCTATTTCCGGCTGGCAATCGGTCTCTGATACCATTTGTAACGACTCGGGTCCCACTTAATGGGTTGTCCCGACCATTAGATCGACGACGTACTGTCCCCACTGTACCAACATGGGTCTTTACAGCATGCTTTGTCCTCACTCGCACGCTCCCCGAGAAAACTTCACAGGGGGTCACCCATCATAGAATTACTCCAAGTCAAGCACACTTAACTGTAGAGTTTCTAACGATGGACTTCCAGAAAAGAAGGTGCACCTTGTTGGTATGAGTAGTACCTATCAAATCTTTTTAACTTTTCCTGGTCTGGGTATTTCACTTTAAGGTGTGTTGAGATGAGATAAAGTGATCATGTTGTGTACGTGATCCTGTTACCTTGATAAGATACCAAGAGGAGATTACAACAAGTAATCGAAATGGATTTTGTTATCCATTAAACATGTTTAATAGCCTGATCAAGTTCTCGATTTGAGATTACCTGGATGAATGAATATAAGGAGAACTCAAGTTATGTATCGAGGAATACCTGAACTAGGATCTGTACGGTGTCATTTGTTTATAAAGGATATGACATACGCCCTAAGAATGGGAGAAAACATCATAGCGCGTGTTTCATACCATGTGTGCTTTTTCGACCAATATTGAGTAAATGAGTGAATGGATCCATGTTTCCTCATTGTGTGAAACCTTGAGGTTTATATGACCTCATATATACCCCTATGACTTTTGACTGTTTTTGAGATTTTATTTCGGTGTTGCTATTTTAGCATGTTGCCAATAACTATGATTGATTCGATTTGATGAGACATGTCTAGGAAAGCAGCAGATTTAAAGTTTAAGGATTCAAGTAGGAAAGAAAAATTATTTTGACCAACATTTATAGTTGTATTCACTGGAAGAACAATTGTGTTTAACCATTTGGGGTATAAAACATAATTGTGAATACAATGATGTGATGTGGGGTTTAAGTATGTTCCATAAATATTCGAGGGATTGAAAATGCTTGAATTAATGTTGGAAAATGATTTTGGAGTATAGCGAGATGTAATATTCCTCTAGTTGAGCTACTATATATCCTTAACAGGTTTATAGTATTGTGAGCTCTAATATTACTCGCTGGTCGTACGATCTATTTGTCGTATGAATTTTTGTGAGATAGATCTTGAGAAAGATCTAATGCCTGACATTCATTGTCCCTTGTGGTTCGGATCAAGCCCATCATGTGCAAGTGGGAGATGTTAGAAAAATACGAGTAGTGGATCGCCCATGTGGGATGACCCGACCCACAAGTTATTAAAAGGGTTGGAGGGAGTGGTTTAAATTTGAAGTTCAAACATGCAACTCCATATAACCACCCTTAACTCCCATACAACCTCAAATGATTGTGCATTGGAAAAAGATGGCATGAAAAATGAAGGAAAAATTCATATGAAAATTTACTCCAAAATTGAAAAGTCCTTAGAACTATATTTTGGACATGAAATCTCACAAAAATTGATAGTTAGATTGTGGATAATAATCCCCTTCCATTGTGATCGGGATTGGAACCATTGGAGAACAATAAATGCAGATTTTGGAGCTTTGAAATGTAAGGTGATTCAACCATCAAAAGATTTTGGAATTCATCATTTCAAGTAAGTTTCTTGACCCGAAATTTATGTTAACGAATGCTGCAAATTCTTACAGCCAGTGATGAGTTTGAAACTTGTAGATGATAAAATCAGATAGGAACTCTAAAATGTGCTGGAAGTATACAATGGAGTTCATACTTCAATTTCATTTTCTGATTGTTATTTATGAAGATACTTGTCCTATTTTAGTTTAATATTATATATCAAAAGATGGAAGTTCTTAAGATAACAAAAGTGAAATTATTGTATTTATTGTCGATCTCAAAAAGTAGAAATTTTTTTTTAATGCCACCAGTCAAGTTTTCCTGTCACGATTTTGGCACGGTTATGCACCCTTTATGGGTTTCGGTGTTTATGTGGTGAGGTTTTTGTTTAAAGGAAGAAAAAAAAATTTAACTTAGAAATAAGATGTCAGATATTAATTTAAATTTTATTTATTAAATAATTAATTAAAAAATATTTTATTAATTAAATATATTAGGGTCATAGTATTATATAATTTACTGTTACAATTATGTATTAGTCACAATTACAAACGTCACAGTAAAAAACAACAAATTTTATATGTTACAATTTATTTTTCGGTAACAAATTAAATAAAATTAATTGGTCACATATATTTTTTTTTTTATCACAAATCACAAACTTTATGAGTTACAACTTAATTTATTGTCACAAATTATCAAATTAATTGGTCACAAATTATTTTTATGTCACACATTATCAAATTATTGGTCACAACTTAACCATTTTTTAGGTCAGATATTATTTATTGGTCACAATTTATATATTTCATTGGTCACGTATTGTTTATTGGTCATACACCAAACAATTTATTAGTCACAATTAACAAAACAATATGTAACCACCACCACCTTACCACTGCCTCCAGTAGCACCAATGCCAACACCACTGCAACGACGAGGATAACAGCCAACACCAACCACCACCACCGTCGCCTGTACCAACCACCACCACCACCATCTCCTCAAATCCATTATGTCCTCCACCTCTACCACCACCTGCACTGACACCAACCTCAATACACCAAAATCGCCACCACCAGCACCAGCAAAAGCAAAAAAATACCCAAATACCACACCATCCCATTCGCAATCACTATACCACCATCACCACTACTTCCAACATCACCGTCAACGCTTCCTTACGATATGTAACAAACAGAAAAATGACCCAAAAAGGCTGGCACGCTACCACCTCACAAAAAGGCCAGCACCACTACCACCCAAAACCATAAAAAACACTGACGATCACCCCCAAAGCTTCGACGAAGCAGATCGGAGGAAGAAACCAACCCTAAAACCATTACCGCTACACCACACCTCCACCCACCACCCCACCAAAACTAGCATTATCACCGCACACACCACCACAACATCACGACATCTCCATAGATTCACACCTTTTTATGTCAGACACGGAGATCTGCGACCACCATGAAACAGCGATGTTCATCCCTGTTTATAATAGACTCGCCATCGTCCTCTTCTTAATAGATCTGTGGTAGTGATGCTTGTTTCGGAGTGACGAAGTTGTGGACACTGGCTGCTTCAGAGCGATGTTACTGCGTTGGTGGCATCTTGAGCATCACGCCACGACGTCTCTAGTGGTATCTCTGGCGGTGATAAAGAGATGAGAGAATGGATGGATATAGAAAGATAAAGGAAGTGATAGAGAGAGAAAAGATAGAAGAAAATGGATAGGTGGTTGGATTAGCTGGGTAGATATGTGTATTAATTTAATTTTATAATATATTTATTATATTAAAATTTTGAATTATTATCTGAGTTTTGAATTAAAAACTTGTAAATCTTATTTTTGAATTATGAAGTTGAAATGTCTGGGTAGATGTAATTTCCACTTATATATACACACAAAGAAAATGGAAGCAGTGAAGATAGAGACAGCAAAAGGCAGCCAGCAGCTTGGAGAGAGAGAAAAAAAAAAGAATTGGGCAGCTGTTGAAGGAAGAAAAAAAGGCAGTTTGGCGGAAAACTGAAATAAAAAAAAAAAAAGAGACGAGACACGATGTTGTCGACCAAAAAAAAATTAAAGCGAAGTGAAATTATGCACAAAGAGGAGATACACACGGGCTTCAATTGGGAAAAAGACTGCGTCGTTAATTGGAAAATTAATTACGTTCCGATATCTTCGAACTTTATTTGTTTAATTTCGATATTATGAGTAGCTAAATAATTTTTGTATTAGGATTACGATGAAACCTATTTCATGAAATTTCGATTTTTTTAATCTTATTTAGTTTTGACATTCAAAGCACATTTTCAATTCTTGAATGACTGACGTAAATTTAATTTTCTCTACAATTATATGTGCAATAGTTGTATGAGTTTTGTGGCTTATTTTATTTTCGAAAGATTGAAATTAAGTTAGACATAGTGTCAATTGTCATAAAGTCCCTTAAGGAATAGAAATATACCGCAACACTTTACGCAATCTTTAAGTATTCATAAATCTTTAATGCATTTTTATATGTTCGCATTCATCGTAGAAATATAGTCGGGTCACGTGTAAGAATATGTTAAATTTTACTCAATAGATATTGTTAAACAAATTCATAATTAAATCTTGTTGTCAAATTTATAAGTTCCGGAGTTAGAGGGGATTGATATAAGGGGATTCGAGATCCTAGTATACTTTTGATCATCATATTTTCATAAAACTTGCATTTAATTATAATCTTGCATTTATTTTAGTTAAGTTAGGTCTTGCATTCATATGAAAACTCACAAGTTTCAATTGTTTCGGTTAGACTAAGTTAATTCGAATTTGAACTTGATAATCATATTTTGACTTAAAATCCATTTTACCACTTGTTAACGAACCGTGCACTTGCGGTATTTTAAATTAGCATATTTTCGTGACAAAAGCAGATTTTTTAGAGTTGAAGATTTGATCTCTAATTTTTTTTTTTCCTTTTGATTTTAAACCCATTTCTTGGTATATTAATAGCCCTTTTTATAGACGATTTTACGGACTTTTTGTGAATGGACACAGTTATTATTCTGCTGGAAATCATGATTAAGTTTAAATTCAAATATTTTAGTTGAGTTTTGTACTTTAATGACACTTGTCATGTAATTGAAGCTCGAATATTAGGAATTTGTGTTTTTGTTAAATTAATCTTAATTTTATTAATTATAAAATTTGATTTGTCCTTAATTTTTCTTATAAATAGGGAATGTTATTAGGCTTACAAATTACTATCATAAAAAAGATAAAGATAAGTTAGAGAAGATAAGTTGTGTGATTTTCACTTGTAAATATTTTTCATTAGAGTTAATTACTATAATAGCAAAACAGGACGTAGTATCACATTGAGGTAAACCTCTATAAATTTTGCATGTTTTTATGTCGTTTTGCAAGTTGATTGCTGTAGATGGAATAGAACTAAAGTTTCTAATTCTCAACAATTGGGGTCAGAGTTTTTGGTTTAGATTGAGGACAATGATCGGTGAAGAATGAACGTCGCTAGAGATCTGTAAGTTTGAGGTATGGATTTTACGTTCTGTAGGACATGGGTGGAGGATTATGTGTACACTAAAAAATTGCATCACCTCTTTCTGATTGTGAAGCCGGAAGGAATGAAGGATGATGAGTGAAAAAATTTTGATCATTGATTTTTGGTGTTATCTATTTAACACTATAAAATAAATATTGGTCACAACAGGCGGCAGAGAACTAGGGCAATCGGGATATTACCCTTTTACCCATGTTAATTGGGATATTACTGCAAATGAATATTGATTTTTTTTTTAATGGAAGTTAGTGTTATAGAGTATGGAGGGATGATTATGTGATATATGTGGCTATGTAAGATTGCACGCTAAGGTTCTAGGGTTTCAAGTTCGTGAGTTTCAATGTAAAAAGAAATGAAGGAAATGGGATGACATAATTATTTGCTTTATGTTTATATTGATTACCAAAGTGCAACTCAGATTTCACATAAATGAATACCCAAGTTTTGGTGTTGCTAATTTTTTATTTTCATAAAGTAAGTTCATAAATTGTAGTTCCTAGCTATGTATTTTTTGTCACACTTTGTATGTTAAAAGCAATTTTTAAATGGATTTTGATTTTGTAAATTACTTGAAAGCTACTGTAGACTTCAATTGAAGCAATCAGGGTCTTTGGATATGCAAACTTGGAGGATTTGAAATCTTAATTCCTTACAAATCCCCAAAACTGCAGCCCCCACCACCCAGCCATGCAGAGGTTGAAATGTGGCCCAGTAAAATGAGGAGAAAGAGTGCACATAATTTACTGTCTATTGGTTTAATTGGATTGATGGCTCCAAAATTAGATGAATAATAGTGATTTGATCTATTTCAGGGACTAGGTTTTTAAATGATTCGTACATAATTATGGGAGATCTTAGTGTATCATATGATTTTGTTAATGATAGGAAAGATCTGCAGAATTTTCTAATTGATATTGTAATTGGTATGTTTCCGGTAATTACTTAATTAGGTCAATTAGTTTATATGTTTCCTAAATTAGTTGTCTCTGTACCTATATAATTTTGCCTCTAAGAGAGATGAATATATGAAAAAACTGCTCCACTACTGCTATGTTTATCATGGTATCAGAGCAGACATAGTTGATATACCTGCTTCTGAAATTGTAAACTACAATATTTCCACGGCTACCCTCTCCTAAATCAATACTTCCGCTGCTGCCCTTATATTTTCTCTACAAAAATGGTTGGTGACATGTCTGATAATTTCATAATTGCACCTGAAAAACTGACTGGTCGAAATAACTATGATTCTTGGGCTCGTATTGTTCGCATGTCCATTGCCCGCAAGAAGAAACTTGGCTATATTACTGGTACAAAGAAGGCCCCTCAGAAAACTAATGTTGAAGCCTATGAAACTTGGGAGGAGGAAAATTGCACTGTTCAGACATGGCTTCTCAATTCAATGAAGAAACATGTGAGAGTTCTCTTTGATGTTCTTCCTACAGCAGCGGCAATCTGGAATGCTGTAGAGAAGACCTATACTGTAAGTAACAATTCCTCCAGAATATATGAGTTAACACGGAGATCTGTCAACATCAAACAAGAAGGTCGTACCCTTGAAGTTTACTATGAAGAATTACAAACTATATGGCAGGAACTTGATGCTATCAACCCTCCTCAGATCAAGAATGAAATTGACCTCTGCATTCACTTAGCAACTGTCACAAATTTTCGTGTTTACATCTTTTTGGCAGGATTAGATTCTCATCTCGATGGAGCTCGTGCCCATGTGCTTCGTTCTGATCCCCTTCCTGATGTCCTAGAAACTTATGCCATGATTTGTGAGGAGGATACTCGCTTAAAAACTATGGGGAGTGAGGAAAATACAAGTGGTAGTGCCTTAGCTGCACGTAAAGGGAAGGAGGGCAGCTTATATGAGTCTCCAAAACCCTTCTTCAAATCTGGTTCGGGTGGATCAAATTCGGCTAAAGATGAGCGTAAATGCACTCATTGTAATGGTAAAAATCATATTGTGGATAAATGTTGGAAGCTTCATGGTCGACCTGATTGGACAGATGAACTTATTACAAAAAAACAAGGAAGTAGAGCATCACTTGCTACTACTCCAACTATTGAAAATGAAGATGAGGCCAAGTCAGGTAACCTTGTTTATGCTCTATGTACTTCTACTTCTGCTTGTGATAGATAATACATGGATAATTGACACTGGAGCAACGGATCATATGACTAATAACCCTAAGAAATTCACTATCTTCACTAAAAATTACTCAAAATACTGTGTCAGAACTGCCAATGGTCAGATAATCTCTGTTGCTGGTATTGGTACCATTCAGCTTATACCCAACATAAGGTTGTCCAATGTTCTTCTAGTTCCCACTTTAGAAACTGATTTGTTGTCTGTGTCTAAACTCATGACTGCATATTCCTGTCATTTTTTCCCAACACATTGTATTTTTCAGGATCTACATACTCAGGAGGAGATTGGACGTGGTTTTAAGAGAGGGGACTTGTGGTACTTTCAGCAAACTGCTCAAAATATTTCAGCAAATCAAACCAGTAAGCATGTCCTGGAGAATGAAAAATTGATTTGGTTATGGCATCAACGCCTTGGACATCCATCATTCGGCTACTTGAAGCATCTTTTCCCAACCTTGTTTGAGTCTTGTAATAAAGAATTTAAATGTTCTACTTGTGAGACTTGTATCTTAGCTAAAAGCCACCGTGCAAATTTCCGAAAATTGATAATAAAGCATCAATGCCATTTACTCTAATTCATTCGGATGTATGGGGTCCCTCACAACATTCTACTTCTTGTGGTATGCGATGGTTTATTACCTTCATTGATGATTGCACTCGGATTACATGGATTTATCTACTTAAGCACAAGAGTGATGTGAACAAAGTTGTAAAACAATTTTGCACTATGGTCCAAAATCAGTTTTCTACAACTATCAAAGTACTACGTTCAGACAATGGAGGTGAATATCTCACAAATGAGCTTGTTGTTTTCTTTCAATCTCAAGGCATTATCCATCAAACATCATGTACTAATACACCACAACAGAATGGTGTTGCCGAGCGACGCAATCGCCAACTTCTAGAGGTTACTTGAGCTTTATTAATTGACAAGAATGTTCCTAAATATTTGTGGGGTAATGCTTTGCTATCTGCTATGTATGTCATCAACCGAGTCCCTTCTAGTGTTCTTTCATTTCAAACTCCTCTTCAGTTCTTCGCTGTAAAGATACAAGATATGCCCCCTGTCTCTAATCTCCCTCCCAAAGTCTTTGGATGTGTTGCTTATGTCCACGTTCACTCTCATCAACGTAGCAAACTATCACCTCGGGCTATCAAATGTGTTTTTGTAGGATATGGTTCTCATCAGAAAGGATACCGTTGTTATCACCCGCCTACCCAAAAGATGTATATCACTATGGATGTGACATTTAATGAGGATTTGGCCTATTTCTCTACTGATGGCTCTCCTCTTCAGGGGAAGATGGATGGTATTTTTGAAGAGAATAGCCATGATGATATGCCTATTGATACTACATCTCTAACTAGTGATCAGAGACATGATACTCTATATAACAGGAACTCTTTGGAAGAAGGAAATAACTCGACAACATGTCCAAATATTGCTGATAGTACTACAGACAGTTCCTCTCTCTATCCACAACACATTCAATCTACTCTAGAGGCTACAAATGAGGTACATTCTGAACCTGATGAAACTTTGGATGAAACAAGTGATTTTCTGAACACTACACCTGAACCTGAATCTGAACTGCCAAAATATCAATTACCAACTCGCATAAATCGTGGTAAACCAAAAACCCAGTATGATGCAGATTTAAATAGTAAAGGAAAGTACCCCATTAGCAATCATGTGTCAACCCATAGAGTTTCCAAGTCATATGAATCATTCTTGTGTCAAATATCTATTGTATCTATTCCAAGACAGTTGCAGGATGCATTAGCAAATACCAACTGAAGCTATGGCTGAAGAAATGAGAGCATTACAAAAGAATAGCACGTGGGATGTGGTACCCTTGCCTCCAGGAAAGAAGACTGTTGGATGTCGATGGATTTTCACCATAAAACACAAAGCTGATGGCTCGGTAGAAAGATACAAGGCTAGATTGGTTGTAAAAGGATACACTCAAAAGTATGGGGTGGATTACAATGAGACATTTGCTCCTGTGGCAAAGATTAATACTGTACGTATACTACTTTCTGTGGCTGCTAATCAAAACTGGCCATTGTTGCAATATGATGTGAAGAATGCTTTTCTTCACGGGGAACTTCAAGAAGAGGTGTACATGGATCTTCCACCAGGACTTTCAGAAAAGACAGGAATGGTGTGCAAGTTAAAAAGAGCGTTGTATGGTTTAAAACAATCTCCTCGAGCTTGGTTGGAAGATTTGCACTTGTAATGAGGAACTTTGGGTATAAACAAAGCAACTCAGACCACACATTATTTCTAAAGCACAAAAGGGACAATGTGACTGCTTTAATTATTTATGTGGATGATATGATACTTACTGGAAGCGATATTTCTGAGATTGAAAAATTGAAGAAATATTTATCAAGAGAATTTGAGATGAAAGAGCTTGGAGATTTGAAGTATTTTCTTGGCATAGAGGTGATTCGATCAAATCAGGGTATATTTCTGTCCCAGAGGAAATATGTACTAGATCTATTAGCTGATACGGGAATGTTAGATTGCAAACCAGCTGAAACTCCAATTGAACAGAATCATAAGCTTCATGAAAACCCCAGTGATGTTCCAGCCAACAAAGAGAGATATCAACGACTTGTAGGCAGGTTAATTTATTTATCTCATACCAGACCTGATATAGCCTATGCCGTTAGTGTCATCAGTCAATTTATGCACACTCCCAGTGAAAGACATATGAATGCTGTGAATCGAGTTATACGATACTTGAAGAGTGCTCCAGGGAAAGGGATTATGTTTGTAAAGAATGATCACTTGGATATTAAGGGTTATACTGATTCTGATTGGGCAGGAAATAATAGTGACAGACGTTCTACTACAGGTTATTTCATCTTTGTTGGTGGTAATTTGGTTACTTGGAAGAGTAAAAAACAGAAGGTTGTATCTAGATCAAGTGCTGAAGCTGAGTATAGGGCAATGGCTCAAGGTGTATGTGAATTATTATGGGTGAAGGCTGTAATGAAAGACTTGGGTTTTATACCTACTAGTGCTATGCCTTTATATTGTGACAACAAATCTGCAATTGCAATAGCCCACAATCCCATACAACATGATCGTACCAAACATGTAGAAATAGATAGGCACTTCATTAAAGAAAAATTGGATGCTCGGATTATTGAAGTTCCATTCGTAAAATCTGAAGACCAGTTGGCTGATATTCTAACCAAGGCAGTTTCAAGTAGAATGTTTTTCAACTCACTCGACAAGTTGGGCATGCAAGATATCTTTGTACCAACTTGAGGGGGAGTGTTAGAATGATTCGTACATAATTATGGGAGATCTTAGCGTATCATATGATTTTGTTAATGATAGGAAAGATCTGCAGAATTTTCTAATTGATATTGTAATTGGTGTGTTTCCGGTAATTACTTAATTAGGTCAATTAGTTTATATGTTTCCTAAATTAGTTGTCTATGTACCTATATAATTTTACCTCCAAGAGAGATGAATATATGAAAAAACTGCTCCACTACTGCTATGTTTATCACAAGGTTGAGCGAAAAGCTGTCAATGATTGGTCAGTAAGTTATGCAGCTTTAGAGAGAAAAGTTGAGTTATACAATAAGCTGGTGAGGGGAGAACTATCTAACGAGGAAGGAAATGAGAAGTACTGCATTGGTTTTTTCCAGAAGGGTATTCAACATCATGAGCCCCAATTGCCTCAAGGGCATTGTGCTGGTACACATGAAGTCCGAATTGAAGCTAGTGACTATGATGATACTCTGCCTAATACAAAAACCACAGGGCTTGGCCACACAGCTGCTATGTTAGACAGGAGTGAACATAAGAATTTTGTGATGTAAGTTCTCTTTCCCTGGTTCTATGTGATGTGTATTGCATGAAGTTACTAAGTTATTTTTTCCTTTTCCTTTTCTCCTTAGTTCTTTTGTCGAGTTTAAACAAACAAAGAATTGGGTTCATCTCCTGGCGACTTCACACATTTGAATATGAGTACCTGGTTGAATCTCATAAAATATGTAGTTAACATTAATTATTGATTTTAATTAAAAAATTTAACTGAACTAAACAAGGACTAAATGTGCCTTTTATTTTTTTCAAATTTATGCATTCATCTTGTACGATTAGAACCCTCTGATTTGGCTCACCTATAAAAAAACATCTGGGAAAATTCTTCACCTATTAGTAGTATGTAATTTAAACTACTAGGAGATTTCTTCTCCCATGGATAAACTCTGCATATTATTCCTCATTGGACATTGACTTTGTCACCTTCTTGAACTTATTTTACTTATAGGATTGATTATTGGAGATGACTCCAGCCTCGTAGCAAACCCGGATAAGTAGGAATCTCGCTTTGATAAGTTGTGTTGAAGACTATAAGAATCTTTATAGTTTGTTTATCCCCTGAATTATTTACCCACATACTGATGAACCTTCAATCTAGACGAAAGGATAAAGGTTCATATCTAGACGAAAGGATAAATCATTTTCGTAGTATCCATATCTTTTACTTTCTTATGCAATGGTCAAGGTGTTGACATAGATGTACCATTGAGGGTTTATATTCTTTTTCTTCCTTGTGCTGTTCAATTATCTGAAAGGTAAAAGACAAAATATAAATAAATCGAATCACTATATCTGTTGATGCCAGATTTTGCTAGGAAAGGCTTTGCTTAACATCGCACATCTCTGTATTATCCTCAATTCCAAATTCAATATTAGTTCAATAATACTTTCGAGTTCAAGCAAAATTCAAATTTTGATGAGCAGAAGCGAAAAGCGTTCTCAAATAATGTCTTTTTAGCCTATGTTTTGAACTTCATCTTGTAAATCAAAATTTATCCGTTCAATGTTTCCTTTAACTGGAAAGTTCATGAAGGAGTAAATCAAGCAAGGGAAAACGTGTCTCAACTCATAGGCAAGAATAGATTGCTGCTTGTCAGGAGAAATTAAAGCAGGCCTAGCTCCGCGAGCATCTTGAGAAATTGAGAGCATCCAATTCAGAGCAGACCTGAGTGCAATGTGAATATCTTTGTCTTCCTTCCAAACAGTTATTTTAACCATCTGATTAGAAAATACCAGCATATGCATCTGAAATTTCGTTGCCTACCATATTATGACAAATGCAATTTAGTCACGAAGTTTGGTCTATATTAATCCCTTCTGTAATACTAGAATTCTCATCATCAATTGAAGTGCTCATATAGTAATTATCTGCAGAATTTGGGTGTTAATCACGTGATGGACCCTCCATTGGAAGACACTATTTTGTTGGTATAATGACAGACATTTTGCTA